CAGAAGAACTGTCGAAACATATCTGCTGCTATCCAGATCATTTGCTACCTTGACATGAAAATAAAACCCTAAAAAAAGACCTGTGTCCTTTTTGCCCTGCACCCCTTGTCACGATTTCTGGAAACCATGCAGCATCACCTCGTAACGGTGGTGAGTATGGTAACTCTGTACCTGGACAGTGGTAGGGAACGTATAAAGAATAATTGCTCGCGCTCACTATTCCACCTAGCATTACTAATTGGATCCTTCCTTGTAAAACAAACAGATTTAAGAATAGTTTTATTATTGCTTCAAGCATCCTAGTGAATACTGTTTAAATTATAAGACTTTTAAAAATGTGATTTCAGCAAGATTTTTATATTTTTTAAATCTTTTAGATATTACTATCATTAGCTCTTAGGTATTATTCAATTTGTAACTTTGTAAATTCAATTAGAATTTTAATGAAAATACGTAATTCAGCTCTACGAGCTACGATGTATTTCAATAAAGAATCTATCTAAGCTATCGAAAGAAGAAGTAAAGGTATAAGGGTTAGTTACAATAGTTGTATTAGCAGATGCAAGAGGGGTGGAGAAGGAAGAGGGGGGGAATTGGATATTCCATGGAGTCCAGATCACCATTGAAGAAGACTTTCACCGAATAGAATTGATCATAAGCTTCATTTAGAATAATTGCTCGAACTTAATGCATAGCATTTCCTCGTAAAGATCCTTATTGCAGGTGTTTGGATTTCAATATATTCTGAGAAACGAGCCGTTGAGAACTCGATATATATGGAAGTCATACTTGTGGAGTCAGACAACAAATTGAGTTCACAAGCAATGAGTGTCCTGCATAGTGCAAGGATTACCAATTTCGGAACTGAAAAACTCATATTTAGCTACTTTTGTCCGGTAGTGTTAGATCCCGTTCACACCAAAACTTAAACATGTTTTAAAGCTGTTTTGTTAAACTCTTTTTTATTTTTCTCGTATTTATTACTTAGGTCCAAGTAAGCGATGCAAACATACCTCAGACCGTGTCTGAGATAAGCGTCAAAGTCTAATGGTGACATTAATCACTGTCAAACGAAAATAAAGATTTCAAAAAGCTATATTTCTGGATTTCTTTCATGACTTTCTCTTTCTGTTCGTTATTCCATTCTATCAAATACCGAGACCGAGATGACTTGGAATAGAGATCTCTTGTAGCTAACTCGACAAATTCACTGTAACAAGAAACACCGACAAAGTCACATAAAATTTGTAAAGTACGTCGTGGATTTGTCAGCAAATCTCGGCTGCATACATTCAGGATCTGGTAGTGACTCAGATCACGCAGATATTGAACTGTCCACACTTTGTTGAAGTAAAAATCGATGCAAAAGTCCAACGCTGTTGTGTTGCGTACCTGTCAAGGAAAAAAAACATAAGGTTTTACATGACACAAGCGAAATATTCAGACCTCGGCTGTATACATTGAGAATCCGATAGTGCCTCAAGTCATGAAGATATTGAATTGTCTGAACTTTGATGAAATAATTTTCGATCCAGAGGTCGAGGTCGATGGAGGGCAGCGAGCGATTGAGATACGAGGCTCTAATCCCGGATATGTAGCTATGGTATTGATTCTGCCAGTGTTTTACGTCGTGATAAAACTCTCCAGTCCATAAAAAAAATCCAGCATCACCATAGAAAATAAAAGGTTTACTTTGATAAAAACCAATGAGAAACGATAGATGATATACCCCTATATTTACTTACTATTTGATGACTTCTAGGGTTAACACCTAGTCTCCTTCTACATATAGTGGCAATGTTATCAAATGGATTTCTGATGACGTTAATCAGTTTGATTGGAATTCCCACCACTTTCTCCAGTTTTCGCAAATCATGAAGCCCTTTTTCGTGATGCAAACGTGCGGTAGTTACAGATGCTTTTTTGTCTCCAATTACCTGAGAAAAATATACGTGGAATCTTATGTAAAAGTCAGTTTTACTCGCGCGATTGTGAATAAGCGACCATTGCTTGAGGCAATAATTTACTCGTGCTTCGTAAACAAAGGAAATAAGTCCCATAAGATTTAGCGTTATGCAATGTATACCTTTAAGCAGATAACATAGGAAAGATTTAATTTCCTACCATTAATCAATATTTGTAAATAATCAATGTTATCAAATTGAATCCATTAAACTTGTCTCAATTAAACTCCTCGTCAACAAAGCTTAAAGGGGTACTGAAAAATTGACTGCTAATTAGAAAATTAGTTGGACTCCTTTTAAAAGCATTGATATCCTTTCTGTTATGAGTATGCGAGCATAGATTTCTATTTTGATTTTTCTGAATAGCCGCTGGTCAGTAAGCAGACTGTTTCATCCTTGTTGGAGATTTAATTAACACTTAATTAGCTTGCTAATAAACACCAAAATAAAGAAAACCTCAGAGAGACTGAAGTCAGGACTTCCTAATCCAGTTCTTTTCATGACATGGGCCCTTTCAAATATCTCGTACCTTAAGTTTACTTTTGCAATAACCTTGCCAGCCTCCTTTAATGTTGTAGCAGTAGGATACGGAGCTGTCGCAAATTGACGAACGACTACCAAACATGGCCTGTCGGCGCGAGCGAGTATGTAAGTCATAGAATATCCTCAGCTTGCGCTCATCGTCTGTTTGGCTAGGATTTTTAAAGAAACTGTCAAACTTATAAAGAAGATTAAACTCATTCGAAATAATTATTTCTGGATGGGAATCTAAAATGGCAGCCACCAAACTATGACCGCTTCTTGGATGTCCAACGAAGAGCACAAAAGATTCAACATTGCGATATAAAAATGTCAGCTCACGCTCCAGTTTTCCTTGAAAGAAGAAGAAAAAAGGCGATTCAGTGACTTAATTAAGACAAAGAGAGTGTCCCGAAAAAAAGACGATTAATTCACGGAAGCAAATAAGATTAAGGGTAGAGACTATCAAAAATGGTTTTTCACTTAACTAAGAAAAAAAAACGGTTTGGTATAATTCTCGATATTCGGTTTTTTTGCCTTGGTTTTTTTTAGAAACGGATTCTACGATAAAAATTAATGTGAAAAAGCAACGACGTTACGACCGCTCAACGACCATTTTCAAATTGATGGATAAAATTTTTTTCATGCTCTCATATAATCAACTGTGAAAATACTAATGAGATACAGACTAAAACTTTGAAATATTTACATTAAAACAATACAAGAATATTGCGGCAAGAATGACAAAAAAACGTTTTAAGGCGAAAGAAACAATATAAAAAGTGAATCGATTGGGTAAATACTTTTGCACGGATCGAATCATAGACTCTGTTTGTTCAGTTTTGGTCTGAGTACGCACATAAAAAACATTTTAATGATCAAACAGTCCATTTTACTCTGACGTTTCTTCAAAATCTTGAAATTTCTTCCGATGGTCTCTGGATCCTTTCCATGCTCGTTCTTTACGTGATTGCCGATTATTGATCTAAAATCCGTTTCTAAAAATTTGTCGATTCGAAAGTTGAGTAATCTTATGATAATAAATTTTCGTTTTTATTGATAATCTCTAGGTGAGCATCCAAAATTGCCCCGATGAGACTAAGACCACTTCAAGCGTGGCCCATAAATAAAACAAAAGTTTCGAAACCATCGTATAACGTGTTGAGCCGTAGCTCTAGATGTCCTCCAGAGAATTGTCCAAGTGAAATTTTAAATAGATTTAAGGAGTTAATTAAATCAAATAGAGGCATGTGAATTAAGTAGAAGTACCCTCATGGCAAAGGTAAGTAGTTTTCAAGGCAATAGATAGAAAATTAAGAATTCGAAGAGCTGAATTCTCAAAAAACTTTTGTGCAAAATTCAAGATAAAATTGTATTCATAGACAAAATACAGTGAAAAGCAATAACAAAGATATTCTTCATTTAGAGTTTAGTAATCTGTTATTAAAACGCGAACAACATGACAAAGCACATTCAATATAAACGAATTTCATTTAAGTACAATCAAACCAAGGTCTTTTCACATGTATATAACTTTTCGAGCCTGTGCAGTAGTCCTTCGTGTAAAAACCCAAGACTATTCATGAACTAAGCCTTTCATTACCTCTTGGCGAGAATGGAGTGATTTCAAGATTCAACTTGTGTCAATCCCGCTCTCACTTATAGCTCAGTTGTCATGGAGTGTTTACAGAATAGTTAAAATTAATGCCTTAAATGAAGGTGTTTCTTACAGGTTTTGCTTTGGAGTTGAGCCTTATCTTTAGATTCTCTGAAATCATTGGATACAAATAGTTAAATAAATATTAATTTTCAAAATATATTTTAAAAAAACTGAAGCTAAAGATAAACGGCAATGCCGCATAATCTAGTCAGTTTCGTTAAAGAAACCTCCCTAAAAATTCTAATAGTATACAAAGATTCACCATAGGAGTTTACTTACCATTAGGCTGAGGAAGGACGTTAGGAAAAACATCGAGGGATGGACGAGGATACAGATTGATGCAGAATAACAAAGCTGTTACGAGGAGAAGCAGCGAGGCAATTACAACGTAAACACGAAAATATTTCATTCTTTTAGAAATCCATTAGATTCATCACCTACCTACAAAAGTAAAGAAAAGCAGATACAAAATTTTGAAGATTAACACTGGCTTCAATGCAATAGAAACTTTTTGAGAAGAAGTGTGCTGTAATGTTGAGATAAAGTTTGTTGACATATATCTTTATACACAATATTAATCATTTCAATAGGTTTTCATTCACTTACTAGTAGCCATCAGTCGATCGAAATCATAATATTTAGAATTTTACTTTATGATCTATTTATGATAATATATATTTGCTGCCAGGGTATTCGTTGCAAATAAAAAAAATGTGCTGCGTAGTTTTTCTTCAAACTTGACAAATATTCCTTTATCCACTGCACCTCCCGTAGGGGTATCACTTAATCTTAAAGTTGTCAAATGTTTAAGAGATAGTATGAACATATTATTGCCAAGCTTCAGAAAAGCTTCCCATAGTAGTAAGATAATATTGAATAAAGATTAACTTTAACATGAACGTTAGAGGTTGAAACTCAAAAGTTAAT